TTATATTTGTATATATATTTATATCTATATCTACATTTATAATTACATTTATATTTATATTTATAAAAATTTATATATATCGATTTCTAATAGTCATAGCTTTTCAGTACCATTTTAGTGAAATATAATATATCTTTAGTACGCCCATTAACAGCGAAGCATTACTGTAGGTCAAGGGTTAACAAGGCTTAGATTTTTGCAGTGCCTTCGCTGCCAACTGTCGCTAATATCACACCATTTCCGACACCGCTCAAAGTCCTTCATATCGATTGGTATGTAAAAATTTTTCTGTCACTGCGAACATTGTTTGTTATTTGCTCACAGAACTTTGTAAACTTTCTAATGTAACGGAATAAAAAACGTGGACTGCTTACACCTCTGTCTACGACTCTGTAATGTCGTTAGAAATTGACCAAAAAAATTTTGTAAAAATTTCTTCACTTCTCACTTGTTTGTGCAGTACCGATCTTAAAAAAGGTAAAAAATATTTAACTATGAAGCTTAAGTCTTCAATAGGCACTCGGTTTCATTTATTTATCTTCTTCTAAGTCTTCACCTTTTGTAAGGTTGCTAGGTGTCTCCGCTGTAAACAATACCTTCGCCACTTACTCAAAAACTTGGTTACTTTTTATCTTTAAATCTCTCCTCAGCTTCTTTCGTTCTCCTCGTCCTTCCCGTTCGCTCTCCTTTTTCCTATCTAAAGTAGTTCATCTATCAAGATGAGTTACGTTAGACTAAAGATAAAATTCGACTGAAAAATGTCGAAAAGGAAGCATTTCACAAGTTGCTTTCCAGATCAAACGATGAACGGCGAGCTGCCATTTCTGGGAGGCGTAGTAATACTTTTGCGATTGCTTTATTTTGCTGTCGATTCACATCTACAGCGATCAACCCAAACATGGAACGCAGAAAAAAGACGATTTTTTACCGTACGCGTGGTTTCTTTAACTCACGCTACAATTTCCGGCATATGCACGTTAACTGGGTAAGAAAAAAAATGCATTTCAAGGTCTTTCCTTTTATCGCCGGTGAATGTTGTTTACACCTGTTATTGTTATAAAAATCCGATCAACGTTTTCCTGATAGCGTCATATCTGTCACATTTACAAGCTGTGGAAAGCTACTCCGCTAGTCTTCTTCCAAAATGAAGTACCGAAATGGTGAAAGTAGTGAGATGACGTTCTCAGGATCAAATTGTATGTCATCTCTAAATAACTTCACAATTTCAGGCTTAAGGGTTGCTTTTTCTGCTTTTTGTGCCAAATGATAAGTCAGTGTGATGTTGCCAATGCAACTAGCATTTTAGGTGCTATATATATCCAGAACTGTGGGCCGATCCCTACGGTTTCAGCTGTCACTACGGACGTCTTGTAGCACTTTTCTCCATGGGTAACTTTGCTCACCCTAATTGCCTTAAACAAAATATGTGGTCCTTCAAAAACCTGGTTTTCTTTTACTTTACGTAACTGAACTACCCACGCTATTAATTCCTAGGTTATTTCCTTCATGACGTGATTGATCTTTTTCTAAACAGTGAAGCTCGCCGTTACAAGGAATACGTCTTCCACCATGCATTTGTAAGTTTCTGCAAAGTTACAAAAACACTAATCCAAAAAAAAAAAAAAAAAAAAAAA